GTCAGTTTCCTGATTCCCAATATACTGAACATCAGAGGAGAATTTTTAAAAATCTCATATTTAATTCTCATATGTTTTTCACTTGCAATGATGAAAGCTTTGGCTAAAATAACTTTCAGTTGAATTAACTGATTAATATTCCTGTCTGAAGAGGTGGAGCCTTTTTTGAAATATTAGTGAGGCAGTCAGCCAACATGATCTCTCTCCTAATTATATCTGAGTTGGAATCTGGTAATGATCCCGGATCTCCTTGACCTCCCAGAAATTTGTATAAAATTTTTTTCCCCTGATTATAAGAACATATTGCAAATAATGAAAATATTATAGAAATATATACTTAGAGGCTGGGCACGGTGGCTCATGCCTGTAATCTCAGTGCTTTGGGATGCTGAGGTGGGTGGATCACGAGGTCAGGAGTTTGAGACCAGCCTGCCCAACATGGTGAAACCCATCTCTACTCAAAATACACAAATTAGCTGGGTGTGGTGGTGAACACCTGTAATCTCAGCTACTAGGGAGGCTGAGGCAGGAGAATCACTTGCATCCGGGAGGTGGAGGTTGCGGTGAGCCGAGATTTGTGCCACTGCACTCCAGCCTGGGAGACAGAGCAAGACTCTGTCTCTCAAAAAAAAGAAAAAAAAAAAAATTCTAAAGAAGAACGCTGTGAAGAAAAAGAAAGAAAGAAAGATATACTTCAAAAAGTTACCCATAATCCTGCCAGTCAGAAATAACCAGTATTCTGTGTATATCCAGAGACTTTATCATTTTATGTTTTTTGCTTAAGGACTCAATCCATCAGAAAAATACCACCTAATTCAGATACAACTATTGCTATAGCCATTATTTACTAAACATTTACATAATTATTTAACCCTCATAATAATCTGAGAAACAGGAATATCTTCATTTAAGAGCTTAAGAAACTGAAGCAGACAAGGTGGATGGGAGACTGAGGCAGGTGGATCACCTGAGGTCAAGAGTTTGAGACCAGCCTGGCTAACATAGTGAAACATCGTCTCTACTAAAACTACAAAACAATTAGCCGAGTATGGTGGCACATGCCTGCAGTGCCAACATAAAGCTCTGAAACTTCAAGAGCCACACAGATGCCTTAGATATCTGGGCAAACTCAGCCCTGATCTATGCACCAAATGGGACAGCAGGCTCATGGCTGAGTCCCAGGGATGGTCACTCATACCAATACTAACCAACAGAAGACCAGACCCTGATATGATGTTATCCTAGGATAATACCACCTACTCCCAAATGACTTACGGGAGTTAAAACTCATGGAAATCCTAGGGATGTGAGTAAACAGTATCTTCAGCTTTTGTGTTTCCTGTGAATGATACAGAATTATGTCAATTAGTTTAATCAATTCAAAAAGAGAAGACTGTTTCTAAATAAGTCAGATGTCTTCAAAATCGTTCTACTACTACATAGCCCCACACCAATTTTTTCTTTTCTTTTTTTTTGAGATGGAGTCGTGCTCTGTCACCCAGACTAGAGTGCGGTGACACGATCTCGACTCACTGCAACCTCCACCTCCCAGGTTCAAGAAATTCTCCTGCCTCAGCCTCCAGAGTAGCTGGGATTACAGGCATCCGCCACTGTGCCCAGCTAATTTTTATATTTTTAGTAGAGATAGGATTTCACTGTGTTGGCCAGGCTGATCTCGAACTCCTGACCTCGTTATCCACCTGCCTCAGCCTCCCAAAGTGCTGGGATTACAAGTGTGAGCCACTGTGCCTGGCCCAACGTTTGTTTCTTAGCCATAGAGTAGACTTTATTTTGTTTTTTAAATCATTCACGTAGGCTGGGCACAGTGTCTCAGAACTATAATCCCAGTGCTTTGGGAGGCCAAGGCAGAAGGATTGCTTGAGCTCAGGAGTTAGAGACCAGCCTGAGCGACATAGCAAGACCCTGTCTTTATGAAAAACAAAAACAGGTGGGCTTCATGGCTCATGTCTATAATCCCAGCACTTTGGGAGGCCGAGGTGGGCGGATCATGAGGTCAAGAGTTCAAGACCAGCCTGGCCAACATAGTGAAACCCCGTCTCTACTAAAAATACAAAAAATTAGCCAGGCGTGGTAGCGGGTGCCTGTAATCCTAGCTACTTGGGAGGCTAAGGCAGGAGAATCAATTGAACCCGGAAAACGTTGGTTGCAGCGAGCTGAGATTGTGCCACTGCATACCAGCCTGGAGAGAGTGTGACTTCATTGCCAAACAAACACATCCACATAAATGAAATTTAAAAATATTTTTATTTCATTCTCAAATAACCATACATTTTTTTGGTTTGTTTTTAAAACGAAGTTCTCACTCTGTTACCCAGGTTGGATTGCAGTAGCACAATCACAGCTCACTGCATCCTTAACCTAACAGGCTCAAGTGATCTGTTCTCCTCAGCCTCCTAAGTAGCTGGGACTACAGGTGCACACCATTTTGCCCAGCTAATTTTTTAATTTTTATTTTTAGTAGAGACGGGGTCTCATTATGTTGACCAGGCTAGTCTTGAACTCCTGGGCCCAAGCAGTTCTCCCACCTTGGCCTCCTAAAATGCTGGGATTACAACCATGCCCAGCCAGTCATAATTACTTACTAATGGGATGTATATGCTGTTGGATATTACCCAGCTCCTCAAACCTTAGAGATCAGATTGGACACTCCACCCTCATTTCTTGTTCCACACTGATTTTCACACAGTACTTCCTTTTTGTTGAAAATCCAGCTTTGCAAAGTTGTGATCATTGAAAGAAATCTACATCTAATGTTGAAACTGGACTACCTTGAGCTAATAATGGTTCACATTATGTCCAGTAGATGTTAAGTAACACTGTGTTTCATTTGAATATGTAAAATGTCCTGTTGAACCTGTGAGTTTGCTATAGGCAGCTTGATGTACAGTTTGGAAACCACAATTCTAGCAATGATCTCAACCTGTCAGATCAGGGTCTCTGGGAGTTGTGGTGTGAGTACTCTTTTTTGCTTCCCCGAGATATTTTTGTTGATTGTGGGAAATAACTGGCCTTTTCTTTCTTTCTTTTTTTTTTTTTGAGATGGAGCCTCACTCTGTTGCCCAGGCTGGAGTCCAGTGGTGCGATCTCAGCTCACTGCAACCTCCACCTCCCGGGTTCCAGCAGTTCTCCTGCCTCAGCCTCCCAAGTAGCTGGGATTACAGGTGTGTGACACCACGCCTGGCTAATTTTTGTATATTTAGTAGAGACCAGGTTTCAGCATGTTGGCCAGGCTGGTCTTAAACTCCTGACCTCAGTCTGCCTGCCTCGGCTTCCCAAAATGTTGGGATTACAAGCATGGCTCACCTCACCAAGATGACATCTTATTTCTAATTTGTGTTTCATATTTGTTAATCATCGGTGGTCGATAGCCACTGAGCCCCAACAAATAATGCAGCCCTGTCAGACATTAAAATATTCATACTTTTTCTTTCACATAGGGAAATAATCTTCCAAATATATACACATAGCATTTACATTATATCATTATGGTTTTGATTTGCATTTCTGTGATGGCTAATATTGTTAAGCATCTGTTTATTTACTGATTGGCCATTTATTTATCTTCTTGGAGAGATCTCTATTCAGATCCATTTGTCATTTTATTAATTGAGTTGTAAGAGTTCATTATATTTTCTGGATAAAAGTTCTCATGATTTGCAAATATTTTCTCCCATTCCTTTGGATTGTCTTTTTACTTTGTTGATGGTATTATTTGCGTACAAAAGTTTGTAATTTTGATGAAATCCAATTCATCTGTTTTTTTCTTTTGTCATTTATGATTTTGGTATCATCTGTGAAACCACTACCTAATTCAAGATCATGAAGATTTGTTTCTATGCTTTCTTCTAAGAGTTTTATAGTTTTAGCTCTAATATTTAAAATGTCTCTAATTCATTTAAATTTAAATTTTTGTGTGGTAGAGATTTGAATGATTTTAAATTTTTTCTCTCTTCAGAGGTAGCAACACTAGAAAATAAAGATAAAAAATAGGCCAGGTGCAGTGTCTCATGCTGGTAATCCCAGCACTTTGGGAGGCCAAGGTGGGCAAATCACTTGAGGACAGGAGTCAAGTGACAGGCCAGCCTGGCCAACATGGTGAAACCCTGTCTTCACTAAAGGTACAAAAATTAGCCAGGCATGGTGGCATGCATCTATAACTCCAGCTACTTGGGAGACTGAGGCACAAGAATCACTTGAACCCAGGAGGTAGAGGTTGCAGTTGCAGTGAGCTGAGATCGAACCACTACACTCTAGCTTGGGCAACAGAGCGAAAGTCTATCTCAAAAAAAAAAAACGGAACCTAATTTTTTTTTCTCATTCTTCTCTGGACTGAGTATACTGTTTTTACCTTTTCTTACTTAGATGATCAACTAGATGATATACCAAGGCATTAGTTACTTCTAAACTGGCAGGTGAAGTTTTTATAGAGAGGGATGTTGAAAGGAGGAATAACGTACTAAAACACATGGCACATTTAGTTTATGAACAGATCCCAAGTAGCCTGTTTCCCACTATAAACTTGTGCATGAGTTTAAATCTTCTCCATTTCAAGGCGGGGTGTGGTGGCTCACATCTGTAATACCAGCACTTTGGGAGGTGAAGGTGGGCAGATCACTTGAGGTCAGGAGTTTGAGACCAGCCTGGCCAACTTTGTGAAATGCTGTCTCTACTAAAAATATAAAATTTACCTGGGCATTGTGGTGGGTACCTGTCATCCCAGCTACTTGGGAGGCTGAAGCAGGAGAATCACTTGAACTTGAGAGGTGGAGGTTGCAGTGAGCCAAGATTGTACCACTGTACTCCAGCCTGGGTGACAGAATGATACCCTCTCTCAAAAAAAAAAAACAAAAACAAAAACAAAAAAAAACTTCTCCATTTCAAAATGGTTTAGAATTGTGCTATCATGCAACCCAGTTTTATGTGTCATATTAGTTGTAACTTGTGAGCACCTGTGATGAGCTACTTGGTTTTCTCCTCAGGGGTCTCTCTTTTTGGCATGTCAGCCCTGTTACTCCCTGGGAACTTTGAGTCTTATTTGGAACTCGTGAAGTCCCTGTATCTGGGGCCAGCAGTGATCCACACAGCTAAGTTTGCACTCGTCTTTCCTCTCATGTATCATACCTGGAATGGGATCCGACACTTGGTAAGTTAATTGGGGATTTGCACATTTTCTCAGTGAAGCGGGTGGGGAGGCTAGGAGGATTCTCTCCTTCATTACTGGGTTTAGTACTGTTCTTTTTTGTTGTTGTTTCAGAGGTGGAGTCTTGCCCTGTCACCCAGGCTGGAGTGCAGTGGCATGATCTCAGCTCACTAGAACTTCTGCCTCCTGGGTTCAAGCGATTCTCATGCCACAGCCTCCCAAGTAGTTGGCATTATAGACGTGTGCCATCACTCCTGGCTAATTTTTGTATTTTTAGTAGAGACAAGATTTCGCCACGTTGGCCAGACTGCTCTCGAACTCCTGGCCTTAGGTAATCCACCCACCTCAGCCTCCCAAAGTGCTAGGATTACAGGTGTGAGCCACTGTGCCCGGCTAGTGCTGTTCTTAAGGTTAGTTGTGACTCAGGGTACTCTTGGGGAAAGCTAAACAAGTTCCTCTGTGCATTCTCTGGCAGTCCTGCTGGTCGTGTAGCTGAGCAGTGATATAGGCTTCACAGATACTTGCAGAATTTCATTGTGAACTCTTCCTTTTTAAGAGGGATATTATTAAAAGAGATCCCTGAAGGCATAGAAGGCATGTTTATTAGATAAATATTAATTGGTACCTATTTATGTGTCCGGTACTGTTGTAGACACTGGGGATTCAGTTATGAGCTAGATAAACATTGTTGATACTTTCATTCTTATGTTCCTGTTGACCCAGAGAAATGCTTCTGACAGGACTCAAATAGATTACCTTTTGTTATCTAGACATTATATTGCATTTTTGCTTTCAGCTATTGGACAGAACAGACCAACTTTAACAGCAACTGGGTGCCAAGAATCCCAGGTTTTAATATCGAGTTTAGGAATCTTGTAATGGAGTGAAAACCATCCATGTTGCCTCCTATGTGACCTCATGGTCAGCTCAAAACTGGTTTCTAAAATTAGCCAGATATGGTGGTATGCACCTGTGGTCCCAGCTATCTGTAAGACTGAGGTGAGAGGATCGATTGAGCCCAGGAGGCAGGGATTACAGTAAGCTGAGATCATGCCACTGTACTTCAGCTTGGAGGACAAAGTGAGACCACATCTCAAAAAAAAAAAAGAAAAAAAAGGCTGGGCTCAGTGGCTCACACCTGTAATCCCAGCATTTTGGGAGGCCAAGGAGGGTGGATCATAAATAAAATCAAAATCAAAATCTGGTGTCTTTCTTTTTTTTCTAAAGAAGTTAAAGTTTAATCAAGCCTACTCCAGGTCAGAAATCAGTCCCTCCTCTAGAATTTTAAGATTTCATATTTTGGCTGGGCACAGTGGCTCATACCTGTAATCCCAGCACTTTGGGAGGCCAAGGTGGGCAGATCACCTGAGGTCAGCAGTTTGAGACCAGTCTGATCAACATGGAGAAACCCCATCTCTACTAAAAATACAAAATTATCTGGGCATGGTGGCACATGGCTGTAATCCCAGCTACTCGGGAGGCTGAGGCAGAGGTTGTAGCGAGCTGAGCTCGTACCATTGCACTCCAGCCTGGGTGACAAGAGTGAAACTCCATCTCAAAAAAAAAAGTTTCATATTTTGTAGTCTCCCTAGTTTTGCTTCCAAGAAGATAATTGAAATTCAATTCTTGGCTGGGTACAGTGGCTCATGCCTGTAACCAGCCCTTTGGTAGGCTGAGGTGGGCAGACCACTTGAGGTTGAGAGTTCGAGACCAGCCTGACCAACATGGAGAAACCCTGTCTCTACTAAAAATACAAATTAGTGGGGCATGGTGACGCATGCTTGTATCCCAGCTACTCAGAAGGTTGAGGCAGGAGAATCACTTGAACTCAGGAGACGGAGATTGTGGTGAGCTGAGATTGTGCCATTGCACTCTAGTCTAAGCAACAAAATGAAACTCCATCTCAAAAAAATAAAAATTAAAAAAAAAATTCAATTATTTCTGTATTTTCGTTACTTCTGAACCTAAGCCAACTCTCAGATGGATGCTTTTGCCTTAATTTGACTTTGTATTACTTCTGAATCATAGCCTTAGAGACAAATACTTTCTGGATTTTGGTCTGGTCCAATAGACAGTTTAATGGAAAAAAAAAAGTGAGAGACTAAATGACTTATCAAATTAAGTGTCTGTATCAACTGTTCCCTGGGGCAGTGTTCAGTTTGATTTAAAATGACTTTCACTTCCCTGAGGGGGAGGGGGTAGAGAGGGAGGACATTTCCATTAATGACTTCCTATTCCACAGAACAAAGCTCTGTAAAGAAAATCAGCTGATCAGCTTCCTCTCTTCATATTTTGGCTCAGGCATAGACTTGCCCTATATTTGTCTTTGTCTCAGAATGGTTGGGGTGGGGGGGGATGTGGGGAGGTTTTACAAAATCCCAGAACTTACAGCTTTTCTGTCCTGGTTCCTGGCTGTGATGGTAATCTCTTTGTTGAGAGAAGTGAGGAACCTGAAGGCCCTTAAGTCTGCTTTTATTTCTTCTTCTAGCAAGTACTGGTTCTGAGTGTGGGACAGGATTTTATGTTTTCTGTGACAGCCTGTAGTTTTTGACCTCTGAACTTGATAGTTGACTTGCCAGAAGATCTCACGGGGGAGTGCGGAGTAGGATTGATAATAAAAGTCTAGGAGATTTTAGGCTCTGTGGCATTCTAGGGGATATCCCCACCTACCACCACTACCCAGTAGGACTCAACTGTTTATAAAACACTGTTCCTGTTTAAGCAAAACAACTCTGGAATTTACTTGACTTCTAATCTGATCTAGTTAGAAGCTATTTGAGGGTTGAGGTGGAAGCATCTTCTCCTCTTGATTTTTTTTTTTTCTTTTCTGGGCTCTCTCCATCTTTTCTCTGAACTGACGCCTAATTTAGGCAGTTTTACATTGAGGCTGTGGGCGTATGTGTGTATGTGTGTGTTAAGACAGCCATGTATGTATGTGGGAAGTGTGGAAAATGAAGACTACTTTTGCCCCAGGGACTCATTTAGTTACTTATAATGTAATATTAATATGTTAATATCCCTAGGACACAAGAGAGTCAAAGTTAGCGTATTGTTAAATGTGGGGCCAAGGGTGTGGTAGCTCACACCTGTAATCCTAGCACTTTGGGAGGGGGAGGCCAGCGGATCGATTGAGCTCAGGAGTTCAAGACGAACCTAGGCAACATGGCGAAACTCCAGCTCTACCAAAAAGACAAACAAATTGGTGGGGCATGGTGATAGGCTCTTGTAGTCCCAACTACTTGGGGAGCTGAGCCAGGAGAATTGCTTGAACCTGGGAGATCAAGGCTTCAGTGAGCTGAGATTGTGCCACTGCACTCCAGCCTAGGTGGCAAAGTGAGACCCTGTCTCAAAAAAAGAAAAGGAGTGAGGGCTGGGCAAGATGGCTCACACCTGTAATACCAGCACTTTGGGATGCCAACGCAGGAGGATTGCTTGAGCCCAAGAGTTCAGTACCAGCCGGGGCGAGACGTAACAAGACTCTGTCTCTATTTGTTAATATTAAAAATAAATATGTGTTTTAACTCAGTGGTAGAAAACCAATTTAGTAGTATGCTACCAACAAAAAAAGAAATTTAAATAGAATAGAATATCTAGGCTGGGGCTGGGTGTGGTGGCTCACGCCTGTAATCCCAGCACTTCGGGAGGCTGAGGCCCGTAGATCACTTGAGGTCAGGAGTTCGAGACCAGCTTGAGCAACATTGTGAAACTCCATCTCTACCAAAAATGCAAAAATTAGCTGGGCATGGTGACGGGCACCTGTAGTCCCAGCTACTTGGGGAGCTGAGCAGGAGGATTGCTTGAACCTATGAGGTCAGGTTCAAAGCTTCAGTGAGCTGGGATTGTACCACTGCACTCCAGCCTAAGTGACAAAGTGAGACCTTGTCTCAAAATTTAAAAAGCAGGGGGTGGGTTGGGTGAGATGGCTCATACCTGTAATCCCAGCACTTTGGGAGGCTGAGGCAAGAGGATTGCTCGAGCACAGGAGTTCAATACCAGCCTGGGCAAGGCATAACAAGACCCTGTCTCCTTTTTTTTCTTTTTGAGACGGAGTCTCTCTGTGCCATCCAGGCTATAGAGTGCAGTGGCACAATCTCGGCTCACCACAACCTCTGCCTCCCAGGTTCAAGCAATTCTCCTGCCTCAGCCTCCTGAGGAGCTGGAAATAGGTGCCCACCGCCACGCCTGGCTCATCTTTTGATATTTTTAGTAGAGGTGGAGTTTCACTATCTTGGCCAGGCTGGTCTGGAACCCCTGACCTTAAATGATCCGCCCACCTCGGCCTCCCAAAGTGCTAGGATTACAGGTGCGAGCCACTGCACCCAGCCTATTTTTTAAAATTAAAAATAAATATGGGTTTTAACTCAATGGGTAGAAAACCAATTTAGTGGCATGCTATCAACAAAAAAAGAAATTTAAATAGAATAGAAAATATAGGCTGGGGCTGGCTGGGTGTGGTCACTCATGCCTATAATCCCGGCACTTTGGAAGGCTGAGGCAGGTAGATCGCTTGAAGTCAGGAGTTTGAGACCAGCCTGGCCAACATTGCAAAACCCCATCTCTAATAAAAATACAAAAATTATCTGGGCGTGATGGGACTCACCTGTAGTCCCAGCTACTCAGGGGCCTGAAGCAGGAGAATCACCTGAACCTGGGAAGCGGATGTTGCTGTGAGCCAAGACTATGCCAGCTGGAGAGGCCGGGTGCAGAAGTTCATGCCTGTAATGCCAGCTCTTAAGGAAGTAGAGAGGCAGGAGGATAGCTTGAGCCAAGGATTTCAAGACCTGCCTGAAAGTATAATGAGACCCCATTCTCCACAAAAAGGAAAAAAAAATTTTTTAATGAAATATATTTTATATATGACATATATAAATATATATGTGTGTGTGTGTGTGTGTGTGTGTGGCACCACTCAGTAATGGTAAATATTGTTTTATCTATTATATATAAATATCTACTGGGTTCCAATTTAAAAGGTATTTCTTAGTAGAGTCACAGTCAAAGCAAAATTGAGAAATAGTGTTCTAGATCAGAGTATCCTTTAGAAATACTAGTTCTCTAATAAACAGAGTTTTCCTCTATAAAAATATTCTGTAACTGACTGTATCTAGGAAATCATGCATATTATATCTCTCTTTTGGAGATTCACAGTATGCATTAATAAACTGTTTAGAAAGTCTTCGCAGTTAAATGTTTACGAACTTTGACCACAGAACTGTTTTTGCCCCATATAATGCTTTCAGCATTCTGAGGAACAAGCGTTTGGAAGAACACACTTTGAGAAACATTAATATAGACATGTGGTCATGAGGAAAAGTTGTATCTATTCAGTCTGGAAGCTTTTGTATACCACATAGGGCCTGTGGCATTCTAGAGAACATTCCTCCTACCATCACCACACAGTAGAACTTGATTTTCTGTCATTGGAATAAGTGGATAATAGGTTCCATATTGTGGGTTTTGAGAAAGGTAGAGGTGGGGCATAAGGGTAGAAATGCTTTTCTCTAGACTTATGCTGAGAGGAGGTGTCTATTCCTTTAGGTAGAATTACTTTCTGAGGCAGAACTGTAAGTGTCCTGGTTACTGAAATTCCTTTTTTTTTTTTTTTTTCTCTATCCACAGATGTGGGACCTAGGAAAAGGCCTGAAGATTCCCCAGCTATACCAGTCTGGAGTGGTTGTTCTGGTTCTTACTGTGTTGTCCTCTCTAGGGCTGGCAGCCATGTGAAGAATGGAGATTCCCAGCATCATCTTCCTACATGTCATTACATTCACCCGTCTTTCTGTTTGTCACTCTTATCTCCAGCCTCGGAAAAGTTATCCTTACTTGTTTAGATCCTTTTGTGCTTTCAGATACCCTTGGAGCAGTAGAGTACCTTGTAGACCATAATAGTGGAAAAGGGTCTAATTTCCCCCTTGTTTCTAAAGATGAGGTGGCTGCAAAAAGTCCCCTGTTATGCCCACAGCTTGCCTACTCTGGGCCTAGAGGCAGTTATTCCCTCTCCATATTGGGCTTTGATTTATGCTGAGGGTCAGCTTTTGGCTCCTTTTTCTTGAGACAGTGGAAACAATGCCAGCTCTGTGGCTTCTGCCCTGGGAACTGGGGGTGAGGCTTTGGGTGCCACTGCCTGTGGGTTGCTGGCTTAAAGGACAATTCTGTTCATTGGTGAGAGCCCAGGCCATTAACACCTACGCAGTGTTATTGAAAGAAAAGAGGTGGGGGTGGAGGAGAATTAGTCTGTCCCAGCTAGAGGGAGATAAAGAGGGCTAGTTAGTTCTTAGAGCAGCTGCTTTGAGGAGAAAATATATAGCTTTTGACACAAGAGGAAAATCCAGAAAATTATCATTGAACATATTAAAGATTATTTCTTTTTCTTGCATTTCCAGAAAAGCCTCCTAATTTTATGCTTTTTTATCCAAATCATATACCATTTTTTTCTGAAACTGAATTAAAATACTCATTTTATCTTTGACTCTCCTTGAAATCTAGAGAAACCAAGAAAATGGCTGTTGGGAAGGGACCAATTTCCTCCTCTTCCCTTTGGTCTTCAGTTTTCCTACATCTCATAACTGGAAAAATTTTCAGGGAAATGAAATAGAACTTAGCCAGAGATTTAAGTATCACAGAGAAGCCTCAGAGAAGGAAGAAGAAAAAGAAGTGATGCATGTAGAGTGCTTTTGAGTTATAACAGGCACCAAAATCCCATTAAGGACTGATTATAAGCTTAATGGTACAATTCAGCAAATTATGATTCAGTCAGAGGCACAGAGGACTAGTGTTGATGATAGTTAAGGGATGATGACCTGAAGATACAGGCTTAGGGAGAAAGGAGAATAAAGATTAAAAAAAAAAGAGACGGGATTGTTGAAAAGCTGGCAAAAAATGTGTAACGAGAAAACTTGCTGCTTTTAAAATCCATATAGGCCAGGCTTTAGCAGGCATGCTGTTTGATAGTTTTTGGAAACTCTGGAATGACCTATCTCATCTGTCACTTTGAGTTGTTGGCCAACCAGTTAAAGTGTGGGTTGAAGAGGGGAAATAGTAACTGGCTGGCATCAGTTGGATAGGAAGACCTTACTTAAGGTGTGGACCTGCTGCTTCAGTAGTCTTCATTCAGGGTCCCAAATAGTATTTGGCTTTAAGTAATGATTGCTTTTCTGTTTTTACTAGAGGGGCTCTGGGAAGTCCTTGTACCTTTCCTCCATTTTAAACGATTTGTTCTCTACTTTGTCCTTGGAATTAGGGACAAGTGATCATGAGAGAACACTTCGTCATTGGGACTGGGAAAGGTTTGGCAAGGGCATTAAATTTAACAGCCAGTGCCAGGAAAATGTAAAATGAGGTCAATGATAAACAGATGTTGGAGGCTAGAAAATGGGTAGGGCAGTTGAATTTTTTTGGTGCTTTCTTACCATTTGGGTGTTTGAAGCATGGTAATGGGTGGGTGGGAGGTGTGACAGAGCATCATGCCTTAAATTTCTACTTACCATCTTTGTTTTTCTTCTCTGTCTTCCAATCACTTTAATATCTTCAATTTTCAAACTGTATTTGTACTTGTGCTTAGATACAAAGTCTTACACAAGCATAGTTATCTTCTCCTTTGGCTTTCTCTACCTTTTCTTCCCCACCTCCAAACACACATACACATATTCTGTTCAACAATTCTGTTTCTGATTTCAAAGTCATTAGTTGTACGTGCTCAGGATAAAAAATGAGTGGGTAGGGGTGAGGGACTGGTTTTTTGAGATTCCGCCCTCTTTCCATGATTCAGACCAACTTTGTCTTGGTCATTTCTGGAGTATAACTGACTCAATTCTTGTAAAAATGTGTTCCACCCAAACCACCGTACGTTTTTTCCCTACTTTATTTCCCCCACCTTCTTTCCCTTAATTGTGTTACAAGAGGCAGCCATAGCAAGAATAGAAAATCCAGATCAGTAAGATTCAATAAAAAATGTTTAATTTCCAAATTTGCTTTTACTCCCACCCCATAATTTCCCTGTTCTACAGTTCTGCCTGGGGGCTCTTGTTTATTTCACTCAGTCACTACAGTATACAGGTTTTTCAGTGTGTGGCTACCTTGTCCTTATGAAGTTTAAGGTTTGTGTTTCTGGACCTCAGCTAGCTTAGGCCCTGCCCAGAGTTCTAGCATACGTGGACTTCTAGGTGGGCTCTTAGGATTTTGCTGGGCTTTGGGGACCTGGAGTATGACCTGCAGAGGGGTGTGAGCTTTGGAGTTCATCTGGGGAATTGAGGTTGGCAGCTGGGGAGCGTGGAATTATGGTTGGACTTGGCGCTTGTTGTACAGTCTTTGTGATAGACTTCTTCCTGAGTGTCTTCTGACTGTCTGGATCATGGGACTGTCAGTGGTAGAGTGGAACAGACAGTCATGTCTCTGGTCAGGCCCAGATCATTCCCAGTACACCTCAGGATCCCAAACTCCCTTTCTCCCCATACCATGGGCAGTAGATCAAGTTTCAAATAAGAAAATTTGTGGCTCAAGCCTGTAATCCCAGCACTTTGGGAGGCCGAGGCGGGTGGATCACGAGGTCGAGAGATCGAGACCATCCTGGTCAACATGGTGAAACCCCGTCTCTACTAAAAATACAAAACATTATCTGGGCGTGGTGGCGCGTGCCTGTAATCCCAGCTACTCAGGAGGCTGAGGCAGGAGAATTGCCTGAGCCCAGGAGGCGGAGGTTGCAGTGAGCCGAGATCGCGCCATTGCACTCCAGCCTGGGTAACAAGAGCGAAACTCCGTCTCAAAAAAAAAAAAAAAAGAAAATTTGAATTTGATTTCTCTAATTACCCACCCCCACTTTGAGATGAGATCATTTTCTACTGTTCAGGGTAAGACGTCCTTAGCCCATCCCTTCAGGCCTCAGAAGGTGATTAGGGACTAGTCAGGATAAGATGAATTGGTTAGAGGTCCTCCCTGCTGGGATAGTGGTGGCATAACAATATACATTTTTTGAGGTTGAAAAGAAATTGAGAACTGGGTTTGGGGTTAGATGGGAAGAACAGATACCTTGCCTAAGATTTCGGGACGCAGCCCATTGGAGGCCTTGAGTAAATCAGGATTTTTCTGTATCCATTTGGTAAGGGAGGCAGCACCAGCAGTTGTACGGGAGGTCAGCGTCACCCGAGCAGGGGGTATCTTCAGAGGCATTTGCCAGGTGCCCATGAAGGAACCCCAAGGATTTGCCTAAAAATGAAAAGCGATACCTCAATAGGGCTTCTCACTCCAAGTAACTGGCCAATTGACAGAACCTCTGTTCATCTTATTTCCGTCCTTTACCTTCAGGAATGCATGGTTATGAAACAAGACTGAAAGCATAATCTTCCCGCTCTTCCTTACCCACCTCCCTCATTTAGGCTTTGCAGGCCTAATTTTTTTTTTTTTTTTTTTTTTGAGACGGAGTTTGACTCTTGTTACTCAGGCTGGAGTGCAATGGCGCGATCTCGGCTCACCGCAACCTCCGCCTCCTGGGTTCAGGCAATTCACCTGCCTCAGCCTCCCGAGTAGCTGGGATTACAGGCACACGCCATCATGCCCAGCTAATTTTTTAAAAAATATTTTTAGTAGAGACGGGGTTTCACCATGTTGACCAGGATGGTCTTGATCTCCTGACCATCAAGACCATTGATCTACCTGCGCAGGCCTAATTTTTTCATCCCCTTCCCTCTGCCAACTTAAATTCAGCATCCTTAGGCTGGGCCATGTGGCTCATGCCTGTAATTCCAGCACTTTGGGAGACCGATGCTGACAGATCACAGGTCAGGAGATCAAGACCATTCTGGCTAACATGGTAAAACCCTGTCTCTTCTAAAAATAAAAAAATTTAGCCGGGAGTCCCAGCTACTCGGGAGACTGAGGCTGTAGGCCTAGCTACTCAGGAGATTGAGGCAGGAGAATCACTTAAACCCAGGAGGTGGAGATTGCAGTGAGCCGAGATTGCACCATTGCACTCCAGCCTGGGTGACAAAGCGAGACTCTGTCTCAAAAAAAAAAAAAAAAAAAAAAGGTCAGGTGGTGGCTCATTCCTGTAATCCCAGCACTTTGGGAAGCCGAGGCAAGGCGGGCGGATCACCTGAGATCAGGAGCTTCAGACCACCCTGGCCAACATGGTGAAACCTCCTCTCTACTAAAAATACAAAAAAATTAGCTGGGTGTGGTGGTGCGCACCTGTAGTCCCAGCTACTTGGGAGGCTGAGGCCAGAGAATCACTTGAACCCGGGAGTCGAGGTTGCAGTGAGCCAAGATCATGCCATTGCACTTCAGTCTGGGCAACAGAGTGGGACTTGATAAAAAAAAAAAAAAAATTGTGCATCCCTAGGCTGAGTGTGACAGAGGTGTAATCACCTGAAGGCTTTCTTTTTTACAGCTCATTGATCAATTTAAGAACTTGTGAAGGGTGCTAAACACAACTCTATCCTGCTGGATAAGCTGGCTGGAAGTTCAGGGGCTCTCACATTGCAACATAAATTAGATTAAACTTTAATTTTTCAGATAATGGCTGTGAGAGACTGCAAATCTCCCAGTTCTGTGCCTCAATTGTTTGCCTTTCTTGATAGGAATGAAGCTAGTATCTCACCTTGGAACGGGGCACAGAAGGCAGTAGATGACCACGATCATTGGCAATAAATTGAGTGTAGCCTTCATGGGAAGAGATGCACTGGGGTGCAAGTGGAAGAGAGAAATGTTTATTAGTGAAAAAAGAAAGTATTTGGGGAGCTTGAATTAAGGATGTGGTCAGAGAAGGATATGAGAATTTAGAGAAGTCTAAAAGGAGTTAAGTGGCAGGAAGAACATGAGACTCTTGTAGTTGCACTGAATATGGAATACCTCTTTTGTCGGCTTAGCGGGAGACCAGTTCTGCAGATATTTGGATGAGAAAGCCTTTTCATACTGTGGAGAGAAAGATAAGTATCCTTTTGAAGCTTCAAGGCCCCAAACCCAGGAATTGACTAGGCACAGTTCTTTAGATTTGAAGACCAAAGACCTGACCAACCACGTAGGCTTTAACTCACTATGACAAGGGTGTAATTTGTTTGGTCTAGATGTGTGCTGTCCAGCATGGAGCCAGTAGCCACATGGAGCTGTTAAACACTTGAAATATGACTAGTTCAAATTATTGATTGAGGTGCTTTATAAGTATGAAATACACTGAAGGCTGGGTGCGGTGGCTCACACCTGTAACCAGCACTTTGTGAGGCTGAGGTGGGTGGATCACAAGGTCAAGAGATCGAGCCCATCCCGGCCAACATGGCAAAACCCCTTCTTTACTAAAAAAAAATACATAAATTAGCTGGGTGTGGTAGCACATACCTGTAGTCCCAGCTACTTGGGAGGCTGAGGCAGGAGAATTGCTTAAACCCAGGAGGTGGAGGTTGCAGTAAGCCGAGATTGCACCACTGCACTCTAGCCTGGCGACAGAGTGAGACTCCATCTCAAAGAAAAAAAAAAATACACTGAATTTTGAACGTTTTTTTTTTTTTTCTTGTTTTGTTTTTTTGAGAAAGGATCATGGTCTGCCACCCGGGTTGGAGTCAGAGGTGTGAATCCTAGCTCACTGCAGCCTTGGATACCTGGGTTCAAGCAATCCTCCTCCCTCAGACTCACAAGTATCTGGGACTACAGGTGCATGCCATCTTGCCCAGCTAATTTTTAAATTTATTTGTAGAGACAACGTCTCACCATATTGCCCAGGATGGTCTCAAAGTCCTGGCCTCAAGCGATCTTTCTGCCTCAGCCTACCAAAGTGTTGGGATTACAGACATGAGCTACCACATCCAGCAGGTTTTGAAGATTTAGTACAAAGAATGTAAAATGTCTGATTATAATTTTTTCAATCAATACTGATTACATGTTTAAATAATATTTGGATATATTGGGTTAATTCAGCGTATTTAATTTTTTCATGTAGCTACTAGAAAATTTAAAATTACATTTGTGGCTCACACTCTTTGTTGGGCAGCACTGGTCCAGATCAGGAGTTGGTAAACTATTGCCTATGGGCCATATTCATATTGCTGCTTGTTTTGGGATGGCCTGAGAGCTAAGGATGATTTTTATAGATGAACATTTACAATTGATTCAGTAAAATGGAACAACTTTGAATACCAGTTAAGTGAAATTTTTTCTCACCCCCCCAAAATTCCATTATTTTCATTAGTAGTACAAAAATTGTATTCAGTTATATTTTGAATTTGTTAAACATTTTATGGAAAAATGTTTTTCTCTATGTAAGTAGCTACATAATATTTTTGACTTTGCCACTTGGCCTGCAAAGCCTAAAGTTTTTACTCTCTGCCCTTTTTTTTTTTTTTTTTTTTTTGAGACAAAGTCTCACTTTGTTGCCCAGGCTGGAATACAGTGGCACGATCTCAGCTCACTACAATTTCTACCTCCCAGTTCAAGTGATTCTCTTGCCTCAGCCTCCTGAGTAGCTGGAACTACATGCATGCGCCACCACGCCCAGCTAATTTTTGTATTTTTTAGTAGAAACAGGATTTCACTATATTGGACAGGCTGGTCTCGAACTCCTGACCTTGTGATCTACCCTCCTTGGCCTCCCAAAGTGCTGGGATTACAAGTGTGAGCCACCACGATAAGCCTCCTCTCTGCCCTATTACAGAAAAAAAAAAAAAAAAAAAAAAAAAAAAAAAAAAAAATTGCCACCTTCTGGTTTACACCCTACAAATTTAACCCAGAGATACCTTTGGATCTTCCCTGGGCTCTCTATCCTGAGGAGGTAAAATATTATCTCACCCCACTTTCAGCTATCTGTTCAAAGATCAGAATCCTATGAGAGGGGACAGTCCAAAGATAGAATCTGGAAAACAAAAGTAAACATTAAAGCAATGGAGAATGTGAACTTACCTGGTTGGCACTGTAGTTAGTGGCCATGATCTTGTGCTGTTTACACTTGTTGCTTGGCAACTGCAGAATGCAACCTCCTGGGACTACCTCCCAATCAGCAGGGGCTGCCTTTCCCTCCTATTTATTATTCACTTCCTTGGCTCACACTACCCCCATTTGTTTTCTCTGGAAGTTAGATTCATTTTCATTTTAGAGATGGGAAAGACTGAGTAAATGTGAGAAAACTAGCTGAACAGCAGCTACTTTTTTTCTGGCACAATTTACCCCTTCTTAAGAACTTACACATGACCTTTGATTGGTGTTTTTAACCTCTTTAACAAACCATGTAACCTCAACAGCTGTGTTTGTTGGACAACACAGTGTAACATACCACAGGCTGTAAAGCCAGATACTGGGGTTTGAATCCTTATTCAACATGGGAACATAAGAGCTATATAACATTAAGCAACTGACTTGCCTTCATTCATTTCTTTCTTTTTTTTTTTTTTTTTTTTTTTTTTTTTGAGACGGAGTCTTGCTCTGTTGCCTAGACTGGAGTGCAGTGGGGCAATCTTGGCTTACTGCAATGTCCGCCTCCTGGGTTCAAGCAATTCTCCTTCCTCAGCCTCCTGAGTAGCTGGATTACAGGTGCGTGCAACCACACCTGGCTAATTTTTGTATTTTTAGTAGAAACGGGATTTCATCATGTTGGTCAGTCTGGTCTCGAACTCCTGACCGTGTTATCTGCCCACCTCGGCCTCCCAAAGTGCTGGGATTACAAGCATGAGCCACTGTGCCCGGCTGCCTTTCACTAAATTTCTATCAACTCATTTGAATCATGGAGATAATAAAGCCTGCTTTTACAGGATAAGCGAAATAAAATGAATAAAGTGTCTGGACAATACCATAGCATAGTAGGTATTCAATACTGGAGAGATCCTGTTTATAAGACCCACTGCTTTGTTTTCTCAGGCAGAATGACAAAGGAACAATATTTAAAAAACAACTAACTCAAATCTGTCCTTAGAAGGAAAGACATATCTTGTCCTTGATCCTTAAATAATTTCTTCTATCACTCTCTAGAAGCACAGTGCCTAAGAACACAGGTGTTTAGTGTTGGCTGGAATAAAATAGAATCAGGTACTGGTGCAGGGAAATTGAGCAGGGATGAAGAGAAAGTCACAGAGTGGAAAACATCAGGTTTGGAGAGTTCACTGGGAGTCCTGGGACATAAGCCTAATATTTGTGGGACAAATATGAAGCTTATCTAAAATGGTACTGTAATACCCATCTACAAGGTGGTTAGGAGAATTAATGAGAAGAACTGTGCTTTGTGAATTGTAAAGTGCATTTATATATAAGGTGTTAAGATCAAAGGGAAAAACTAGGGAATAAGTTGCCCAAAGATACAGATAATTAGGACCAGGAAAGCGTTATAAATTATATCCGTCAGTCCCTTCTCTTTTCCTTCTTCCCCCAGAATCCTCATCTTAACCAACACATCAAGTGTAAGAACACTCGTATACTTCCGCATATGGAGGGAAGAACAGCTCTTGTTTTATAGGCTCTGGAGTTGATACCTGGATAATGTGAGATCTGGAAGGAACTCGTGTGCTTAGTCCCCGTGGTTCTTATCACTCTAGAGCGGTGGAAGAGAGAAGAGGTTTATTTTTTTGAGATGGAGTCTTGCTGTGTCACCTAGGCTGGAGTGCATTGGGTCACTGCAACCTCTGCCTCACAGGTTCAACCAATTCTCCTGCCTCAGTCTCCCCATAGCTGGGTCTGCAGGCATGCACCACCATGCCCTGCTAATTTTTGTATTTTTAGTAGAGATGGGGTTTCACCATATTGTTCAGGTTGGTTTCGAACTCCTGACCTCATGATCTGCCTGCCTTGGCCTCCCAAAGTGCTGGGATTACAGGTGTGAGCCACTGCGTCTGGCCAAGAGAAGAGTTATTTAAGGGCCAAGGACTGTCTTTGCTCTAGGATATCCATTTTGGCCCTTTAGGCAAACTGCAGTGATAGGCTAGCATCATTTCTCTTAGAATTTGTCTTCAGTTGGTATGCTTCCCTCTGCTTTTTTGATAAGGATGTAATGATATATGATGACTGCACTCATTTTGAAAGTTAACTAGTTTTTATTTAATTGAAAAAGTATGGCTACTTGGCCTCAAGGACTTAAAAAAAAAAAAGAAAAAGTAGGTTGGGCATGGTGGCTCATGCCTGTAATCCCAGCACTTTGAGAAGCCAAAAGGTGGGTGGATCACCTGAGGTCAGGAGTTCAAGACCAGCCTGGTCAACATGGTGAAACCCCGTCTTTACTAAAAAAAAAAAAAAAAAAAAAAAAAAAAAATATATATATATATATATATATCTATATATATATATATATATATATATATACAAAAATTAGCTGGGCATGGTGGCATGGGTCTGTAATCCCAGCTACTCAGGAGGCTGAGGCAGGAGAATCGCTTAAACCCGGGAGGTGGAGGTTGCAATGAACTGAGATCGTGCCATTGCACTCCAGCTTGGGCAACAGAGCGAGATTTGGTCTCAAAAAAAAAAAAAAAAAAAAAAAAAAGAAAGAAAGAAAGAAAAAGAACAAGTAATGTACATGGAAAAAAGTTTCATATTAACAAGATGTTCAGTGAATAGCAAATCTCCATTTGATTTCAACTCTCAGTCTTGCTCCTCAGAGGCAACTACTGTTACCATTTCTTGTGTCTCCTTCCAGAAATATTCTATGAATACAAACACTAATGACAGAAAGCTGTCCACATTGCTTTTTGATTTGCTTTTTTACTATCTTGGGGATTATGTTTTGATCATAATATTCTATTTTGGGATGCACCATAGTTTATTCAGACCCATATGGATGACCATTTAGGTTATTTATAGTCTTTTGCTATTAAGGACATTGCTGTAATGAAAAATCCCTATGTATCTTTATGAACATACATGTATTTTTATGTACATATGTGATGTATAGGATATGTTTTTAAAAGTACATTGCAAAGTCAGAAATGTAATTTTATGTACATGTGTTATCTATAGGATACATTTTAAAAAGTGCATTTAAAATTAGTAGATAATGTCAAATTACCACTGAAAGACATTGCACCAGTTTGTACTTCTACCAACAGCCTATTTGTGGCTAGTTCTCTCTTTCTTTTCAACACCATTATAGTTTTTCTATTTTTTTCAGTCTAATTTTAATTGAACTAATAGAACTAATTAATTGAACTAATAGAACTAATGTTAACTGAGCAGTCACTGTGTACATGCCAGGCACAGTTCTAATTGCTTTATTACATTTTCTCAGTTAGTTCTCAATCCAACCAAGGAAACTGGAAAATACACAGTGAGGAGTAGAGCCAGATTTAATCCCAAGTATTCTGACTCTAGAGGCAGCAGTTTTAACCATTATATCATATTGCTTTCTTTTTTTTTAAAGATGGGGTTTCACCATGTTGGTCAGGCTGGTCTTGAACTCCTGACCTCAGGTGATCCGCCCGCCTTGGCCTCCAAACTGCTTGGATTACAGGTATGAGCCACCATGCCCGGCCTATCATATTGCTTCTTAAGCTGTAGGCTGAACATGGTATACAATTTTATTTTTATTTATTTATTTTTTAGATGGAGTCTTGCTCTGTTGCCCAGGCTGGAGTGCAGTGGCACAGTCTCAGCTCACAGCAACCTCTGCCTCAGCCTCCTGAGTAGGCGGGATTTGTGCCACTACTCCCAGCTAATTTTTGTATTTTTAGTAGAGACAGGGTTTCACCATGTTGGTCAGGCTGGTCTCGAACTCCTGATCCTCCTGATCTGCCTACCTTGGCCTCCCACAGTGCTGGGATTACAGGCATGAGCCACAGCACCTGGCCTTTTGTTTTTGTTTTGAGACAGGGTCTTCCCTGTCACGTAAGCTCTGGAGTGTAGTGGTGCCATCAATATCCTGGGCTAAAGCGATCCTCCCACCTCCGCCTCCCAAGTAGTTGGGACTATAGGCATGAGCTACCATCCCCAGCTAATTGGGGAGGGGAGGGGAACAGTTGTAGAGATAGGGTCTTACTGTGTTTCTCAGTCTTCTTGTCTTGAACTTCTGGCCTCAAGTGATTCTCCCGCTTTGACCTTTCGAAGTGTTGGGATTACAGGCATGAGCCACCACATCCACCAACATGGTATATCATTGTTTTAAATTTGCATTTCTTTAATTAGAGTGTTTTTGTATATGTATAAACCCTTCCTATTGGCCAGGCACAGTGGCTCATGCCTGTAATCCCAGCACTTTGGAAGGCCAAGGAGGTTGGATCAACTGAGGTTGGGAATTCGAGACCAGCCTGGCCAACATGGGGAAACCCCATCTGTACTAAAAATATAAAAAAAAATTATCTGGGTGTGGTAGCACATGCCTGTAACCCCAGCTACTTGGGAGGCTAAGTCAAGAGAATCTCTGGAACCCTGGAGGTGGAGGTTGTGGTGAGCCAAGATCGTGCCATTGCACTCCAGCCTGGGGGCAACAAGAGCAACACTCTGTCTCAAAAAAAAAAAAAAAAAAAAAAAAAAAAAAAAAATCTCTTTCAATTTTAATTTATTTTTCCTGAAAATGGCCTTTGATGTCTTTTGTCACTTACTATAGGGCTGTTGCCTTTTTTTTTTGAGACCAGGTTTCTCTCTGTCACTCCAGCTGGAGTGCAGTGGCACAATCTTGGTTTACTGCAACTTGGCCTCTCGGGTCCAAGCAATCCTCCCACCTAAGCCTCCTAAGTAACTAAAACTACAGGGATGTACCACCACCCCCAGCTGATTTTTTTGTTTTTTTGTTTTTTTTGTTTTTGTAGAGACGGTGTTTCCTCATGTTGCCCAGGCTGGTCTTGAACTCCTGGGGTCAAGCCATCTGCCCACCTCAGCTTCCCAAAATGCTGGTATTATAGGCTTGAGCTACTGTATCCAGCCTGTTGATCATTTTTATTAATCTATTTGAACTCTATATATTAAGGAAATTAGTCCTTTGTCAGATATGTTGCAAACATTTCCTCTAGTTTGTCGCTTACTTTTGTTTGGTTCGTGGCTTTTCTGGGTTTTTGGGTT